TGGTGATGGTAGGTTAGTGATAAAGGTGGGGTAGTGGTAGTGGTGGAAGGGGTGGTGTAGGGTAGTGGTGGTGGTGGGCGTCGTCATGTTACCTGCCAGCCACCACAGACATGATAAGTTCTCTGTTGACAAATTCCACTCACATATCACCATGTCGTGTGTGTGTGTGTGTGTGTGTGTGTGTGTGTGTGTGTGTGTGTGTGTGTGTGTGTGTGTGTGTGTGTGTGTGTGTGTGTGTGTGTGTGTTCATATATTTGTTGTCTCGTACAGTTTTATGTTATTATTCATTGATAAAATAACAGAAACAGAACAGCCTACATCAACACTGACCTCTCCACACACACACACACACACACACACACACACACACACACACACACACACACACTTATCACATTCTCATCTTCTGTAATACATTTCAACCATTATAACAAGAATAATCTATGGTAATCTATGGCATGGTAGAGACTTATGGTAAGGTATAGTGAGGGATGGGAGTATGGTGGTGGAAGACAAACGTACGCAACAGACGGGGAAGGACGGGGACAATTTAGCTGATATACAACACAAAGTCAACACAATCGCTGACACCACCACCAGCAGCCAGCCATCCTCGACCTAGTTTTCCACGGCTATACAAAAACCTCCTCACTGCTATTAACTCACGTGAGTCATCTAATGTTTTGGTGGTCACACGCTTTTCGGCCTAGTGTGTGTGTGTGTGTGTGTGTGTGTGTGTGTTTAGGTCATCCAAACTACACACACACACACACACACACACACACACACACACACTATCTCCCTGCTTTCTCCACACTTAACATTCCACCTGAGTCGGCTTTATCACGACGAGTTTTTAATTGAATCCTTACAAGTCTCACCTGGGGACACCTGGCCCTTATTAGTACACACCTGCTACACCTAACCTAACCTAACCTAGTTGAACCTCAGTAAGGTCTTTAATGTATTTATTAAACTTAGCATCGTTTATGAGTCAATGAAGATAAGTTGGTTGTATATATTGATGAATAACACACACACACACACACACACACACACACACAGTCGTCAGGTGAGATGAGGCCACCAACTCCTACACACACGCACACACACACACTATATATAACAGGTAACGTCTACATAAAAAAAAAAAAAAAACCATTCCCTGGCCTCCCTCCTATCAGCCATCTTGTCATGTATGGAACACCTGGTGACTCGGGTACAACAGGTAGAGGGAAAGTCTTGATAAAAAATGTTTGTTTGTTGTGTTTGTTGTTGTATTATTGTCCTATAACAACCACGCCCGTGTTTTGATTCTAGCCAACTACGTTTTGTTGTAGTGTAGTGGTGGAGTTTGTGAGGGTGTTGGGGGTGGTGAGGGTGTTGGTGGTGAGGGTGTTGGTGGTGAGGGTGTTGGTGGTGAGGGTGTTGGTGGTGGGTGGGGTGTTGTTAGTGTACAGGTAGTAGATAAAGGTGATAGTGCAGGTGGTAGTGGTGGCTGTGTTGGTGGTGGTGATAGGAGTGGTAGTGGTGATTATGGTGGTGTTGGTGGTGTTGATAGAGTGGGTAGTGGGTGATTATGGTGGTGTTGTTGGTGGTGGTGATTGTGTTAATCGGGGTGGTGGTGGTGTTGAGGGTGGTGGTGGTAGGTGGTGTAGTAGTAGTAGTGATGATGGTGATGATAGCAGTAGTATACCATGTTATACTATTGATCTGTTGGGGACCTGATATTTAGGGTGCAAAGTTCTAGGGTAATAATAAAGGGGATGCCATGTGATTAGGATATTTTTACGTGTGTGTGTGTGTGTGTGTGTGTGTGTGTGTGTGTTTTATAATATATGGGGTAAAGGGAGGGAGGGAGGGAGGGCAGTGAGGGGTGGGGAAGGATGGGGTGTTGGGTAGAGGGAGGGAGTTAGGGGGTAGGGGTTAAGGTAATTAATGCAACACAGGTAACGTCCTCCTTGGTAGCAACTGTTGGTCTTGTTGCTAAGGTAAAAAAACCCATCAATTGTCAAGGTACAGTCGCCCTTATCACTAAATTTAGGGATCTTTTTTAGGTAAGGTTTTAAGGGTCGTTTAAAGTAGTGACAAATGCTAACTGATGTGATATACAGGTGTAGTTCTCTCAAAATACAGGTACAGTGATTTACAGTGAAGCTTATACTACAAATTTCTATAATACTTAATTTTTTGGGGGTAATTTTAGGAGGTATAATACCCCTACCAGACCTCTCTCTCTCTCTCTCTCTCTCTCTCTCTCTCTCAATACACACGAACCGGACTTATTTGTGAGGTACCGACAAAAATAATTTGGTTATGGCTGGCTGGCGTGGGAAGAGTGGGTGGGTGGGTGGGTGGAAATACGTGAGGTTGTTGGGGTGAATCGCATACTGTAGGGACCATACCTGTTTGAGGTTGGTATTGTGTTCACCGCCTCGCCTCGTTCACGCACATCTAGCGTATCTGAACGAGACCAAGGAGATAATTTTACTCGCTCTGTGTCTCTTGTACTTCTTACATCTCATTTCTCATCTCTCACTTCTCACGTTTCATCTCTCATTTCTAACCTCTTATCCCTCACCTCTCACTATCTTATAGAAATCTCTCACTTGCCATTCTCAACAGGCAGACAATGAATCAATGGTATTATTTTACGTTTCTTTTGTATTTCTGAATGACATCGTCCATCTTATTGTCCCTCTCCGTCAAACATAGGGACAAATGGCTGCTAGTAGTTGGTTGATTTATGTAATAGCAAGAATAATTTACTCATCAAATGAATACGACAATATTTCAACCTCGAAATTCAACACTAAAATCGATCTCAGAGTCGTGGTAAAGCAGTTGTCTTTTAACTGCCGAAAACATCGTCTCAGTTAACTCCGTGTGTTCATTGTTATGACTCTAGGAACACACGAACAACAACAATAAACTGCTGCAGACATTCTTATTGTTCATTTAACACGGATTGTCCCACTAACAGAGAAAACACACACACACACACACACACACACACACACACACACACACACACACACACACACACACACACACACACACACACACACACACACACACACACACACACACGCTAAGCCGATGACAGCACGCACACTGTACCATTCAGCGGAAAACCCTGAAACCTACTGTGAAACGCCATAACACATATCACGCGAGGCTTCCAACCAAGTAAGAAGGTTTCCAAAACTCTCGACTGGCAGGGGGTAAACACGAAGACTTGCTAACTTAATGTTGTATACAGTTATAAAGGATATCGGGAGTAATTAATATTTTTGTGTCAGTATATCACAAACATATCATACCTCCCAAGTTGTATGTTATTGTAGTGGTTTATTGAACGATTTGGTTATATTATTGACTGTAGGCTAGAGGGGTGATAGCTGGTGACACTGACCTATTAAGATGTCACCTATTAGGACTGGGACCTGTTAGGACTGGGGCCTATTAGGACTGGGACCTATTAAGACTGGGACCTATTAGAACTGGGACCTATTAAAACTGTGACCTACTAGAACTGGAACCTACTAGAACTGGGACCTACTAGAACTGACACTATTAGAACTGGGACCTATTTGGACTAAGACCTATAAGGACTGGGACCTATTAGAACTGGGACCTAATATAAGACTGGGGCCTATAAAAGGACAAGAGGCCTATTAAGACTGGGGTCTATAAAAGGACAAGGGACCTATCTTCAACACAGCCAACTGCGATCATTTGTTAGGACCGAGAAAGAAGACGCTGGATTTTCCCTTTTATAATGAGTGACATTTCTGGCCACTTAGTATGCCCCACCCCACCCCACTCTCTTTGTTGATATTAGCCGACGTGCTTGGTAACATGGCTGTATATTATAATGTGTTGCTTGATATTAGAGGAAGGTGGGCTCTGACTATCAAAACACAATCTTATGTGAACAACAAGTTACACCGGCTGTTGGCCATGTTGCTATATTTCTTTGACCTTTTGGGGGATGCCTGCATGGACAAACCCACATATACAGTACCTAGGCGATGCTTGTGTCTCACGTCGTCGTCATGGGCGTTGAACCTGTGATATTTTTCCTTCATCTGCTTATGAGATCGCTTACAACATGTTATTTCACTGATGCAATATTTACATTTATTCTACAAGTGTATGTAGGGTCTTTTTTCTCACACGGTTGTGGATCTTCTTTCCGTAATTTTCACCTGAGTAGAGGGATATCCCCCAGCATCCGGCAGTAACAGCGACTATGACATTGGTACAGCGAAACCCTCTATTTAGTGGACTATATGGAGAGGAAGGTCCGTGATATCGAGGGTTATTTACAAAAACCTTTATTTAACGGATTATATGGAGAGGAAATAAACAGTAAGACTCTACACTTCAACAGAAAACACATTAATGGCATAGGAAATTGACGACATGCTTCATACAGTGATCAAAACCAGACCCGAGAACTATACATACTGTAGCACCTGAAATAATATTAATTTTACTTTTTTTTTTACTTTCTGGCAGATTGTTATAGTTAGGTTTAGCATGAAAAGTGACTGAGTGACTTAATGAATGAATTAATAGATTCGTAACTGGGGAAACTTACCTTATAAGATGAATGGATTTATGAAGGAAAAGGATATCACCCCTTAATGTAAGTGTGCATATACTATTAATAATGTTAAATTAAATTAAGTTAGGTTTTCTTAGATACAGTTTGGTTACATTAAGTTAGGTTAGGTTAGTGATCACAGGTCAGCATTGTTAAACTTTTATACTACAACGACATAGGTTAAGTTAGGTTAGGTTAGGTTAGTGATCACAGGTCAGCATTGTTAAACTTTTATACTACAACGACAGGTTTATAAACGAGACATTTAATTAGAAAAATAAGATGAAATGAACAAGGGAGAGACAATAATAAATCTGTATTCTGATAAGGCTGAGTGGCACTGTAGAGATTAGATACCATTATATAGTTACCTCCTGGCACTGTTTTTACCAGCGATCAGGAGAGTCTTGGCACCCGATCTGTCAGGAGTGTCCTGTCTGTAGAGTTGAGTGGTTAGCGAGTGAGTGAGTCCTCTTTCTCATAACCAATTCAAGATGACGCGAATAACACTATACAAGTTGTTGTTCGTGGTATATTCAGTGGCACAGTGCCAAGGTGTTCACATTGTTCAAGTTCCGAGCAGCAAGAACACTCCCCAGGGAGAAAAGTTAGTTGAGGAAGAGCAGCCAGTGACCAGCAGCTCTCCTTCGCAGCCAACGACCAGCTCTCCCCCGCAGCTAGAGGAACCAAAGAACATAACAACAACTGCGGCCCCAGACCAGTGTAACTTGCCTCCAGAGCTGGTAGATGAGATTAAGAGCTACCAGGACACCGTCGACCAGATCATCGAGTATGTGGTGCGCGGGGACTACAAGGGGAGGACATATGAGGTGTTGGCTGAGCTGGTAGACACCTTCGGGCCCCGCATGGTGAGTTCCCCCCGTACACACCGAGACTACGTACCAAGTTTGAGGTTCAGAATGTAAGAAGAATGTGTTTTGTCTTGCTATGCGTTTCGGTAACTTTTAACTGATCACCTGGAGATTTTTTCTCTAGATTATTTCACCTGATGATTAACCACACCAACGTTAACCGAATCAAGCTTTACAGAACATATTCTAGCCTAATATAACCTAAACTATGTAGTGGATGCCCCTCGAAGTCGAGGATGGCCGTCCCAAGGGCCACCTAGGCGTAAGTTTGTTTAAGGTGTAGAAGCTGTCGCCAACACAACAACCACACCCTGAGTTAACGAGCTGCATGACCCAGTGTCAAGGAATAGTCCGAGAAGACCGGACAACTCGCTAACAGCACTGGCTAACCATTACCCCGGAACTCGATCCGCAAATCGATTAACACCAAGGTTCCCAATTACTGCTGGGTAGACAGAGGCAAATGGCGTAAAGAAACTTGCTCGTAGTTTCATCCTGCCCGGGGATCAAACCCGGGTCCACTCGCTTGCGAGGCGGGCATGCTGATCATTACACCACTGGTCATAACCTATACTAACACAACCTAACCCATCCTAGCTTAAATTTTTACATAAGATTTAAACTACGCTAACGTTAATCTCCCTTAGACCCCAGGTAGCGTTAAGGAGTTTAATTATCACATGTTCGTAATCATCCTCAGATCCAAAGATTGAACCATTATCTGTGTGTGTGTGTGTGTGTGTGCGTGTTTCTCCAGGTGCATTTGTAGCATTGCGCTTATGTACGTTTCTGTAGGTGTGTCTGTCTCCCTCAGTGTTCACGCATTCGTACGTACCAATATTGCATAAATCTCGTCCCATTTATTGAGCTAGTGTGAAGAATCAGAGGCATATATGATCATTTACAAGAAAGTATTTAGGTTCACGTTAAACAAAAGATCATCGTACGAGTCTACGACCTCTAACGGTAACCCAAACTATTAATAAACTATCATCAACTGCTTCTGTCTCACCTCCCTTAACTGCTGTAACTACTCACATTAAATCAACAACTTCACTACCACAAGTCATTCTCTAATCTCATCCTCAAGGTGGACAGTGCATTCATATCTTATCAAATCCACCTCGAAAATTTCTATTTACAAGAGTTATCGGTGCAAAAGTGTTCAGTTTCTATGATAGCTATTTGGTCTATAACTATGATAACTTTCTAAATGGTTAAATCTTACATTTAATTTCTCTGTAGCGGTTAAATACAACATTATTTACCTTCTGTGTGATAATTAATACGATGGAATAATGGATTACCTGGTTATGTCTCAGAAAACAATGAGTATAGTTAAAAGTGTAGATATATTAAATAAGAGAAATTCAATATTATATCGAAATAATGACATGAGAAGAACCTTACTTGCATTGTGTGATATAAATAATCTGAGTATCTATTTATATATGTGTGTATAAAAGGCATTTGGTGGTTTGTAGAATTTGGCTGGATTAGTTATTAAAATTATTTTATATACAGTAGGTATTTCGGCATATCTGATCTGTTGAGAAATAATCATGATAATTATATACATTTCAGACTGGGTCAGGTCAGCTGGAAGCCGCCATTGACTGGATGCTGGAACTGTCTGAGGCTGAAGGTCTGGAGAACACTCACACTGAGGACGTGACTGCGCCTCACTGGGTCAGGTAACGTCATGATGGCTGGGTCATCTTAGGTCAGGAGACTTGGGAAATCATAGCAATGATGATTGAAGGAAGTCAGCTCAGGTCAGGGTATTTGTGGTAGATGAGGTTACTAGCAGGTTGTTTAACGTTTAAGTCAGTATTGTGTTTATGTAATGTTTATAATTCCCAAGTTACATATATTTAAGTGCATGTATTGTAATATTTGACTGACGCACAAACACTTTACATGGCCTAACATGAGCTGTACTGACTCAGAAATACAGAGTCAGCGTGGATGACTCAGCCACGCCTCCACCAGCTCAACATGTTGGGTTTGGGAGGTTCTGTCGGCACCCCGCCAGAGGGCATCAAGGCTGAGGTCCTCGTAGTGAAGGACTTTGACGATCTACAGAAACACGCTGACCAGGTGAGAGTGGTGGGCAGTGGTGTACTGACCACGGTTGTAAAATGTTAGTTAACGTAAAATCAGTCGATTCATATTACACCCAATAATAGCCCATAAAATATGTAGCTGTAACTTCTTTATTGAGTCCCCCAGTTGAGACGTCCGTTTCCTCACAGCTTCAGTACGCTTGAGTCCTCCGTATTCTCTCAAGTACAGTAGTACCGAGACTGATATTCCTTAGTATCTCGTATCATGTTATGAAATTTGAAACTGCAACTGCATGCGTACATGTTACATTAAGATATGTTTACTCACAGGTGAAACATTGAAGGTATCTTGTGAGTGATGTTGAAAGCTTCAACTGTATTTACTGTTCGTAAAATTGTCAAATAAATTAGTGTAGAGTGTGCCAGTAGAAGTGACGAATCCCTGACATCGTCCTTGGGGATGCCCTGAGTTCAGATTGTGGTGACAAAGGCACTATATTCCGTTTCTTATTTTATTATCAAGAATAGATGCACAGAATGTTTGTGTAATGATGAATTAACCGAGAATTAGAAATTGTTGAATTAGGGGTGAATATGCTGTAGGAGACTATCAGAGCTCATGTATGGGTCATTAATTCACACTAATTGCTTGAATTTTTAAATTTGAACAGATTTTTATCCAGCATTTAAAATAGTATTATGAAATCTGAATAAAATATATGTCCTGACCTCATGGATTGACTTACGCCTTTTTTTTATTAAAACTGGAAACTTAACATATATAAATTATCAAGTTAGTCTAAATTCTTGAGAAAATGTATATAAAAGTGATTTAATAATTTTAATGGCACCTGTGCCTGTTTCAGGATACAGTGTTCGACTAGTTAGGAGGCCGATTACTTCAAGATGGTCCTTGCAACTGTCATTTGATACGTGGCAAGGGAGTGATAACCATTGCTTCGTTGTTCATTGTCTAATTGATTCGTGTGATGCAATCTATATATTACATGTAATTAATTCCTATTTATATAATTGTTACTGTCTATAATTGACAGAGGCTAAAACATTGCTCGGCTACGACCCACAGAGTCCTGCATGGTGTAAACTAACCAAGCAGATAAGGCCTATCTCTTTGTAGTAATGGTGAGACACTGAGGGGAAGTATAAAATTGGGACCACTTGAAGATTAGGTACCCCAACTTATTTCACCTTAAAGTTAACCACCCAAACTCTAACCAAACTTAACCTACAGTTGTTGTGTTCCTCAGGCAGTGGGCAAGATTGTGGTGTTCAACCCAGTGTGGGTGTCATACGGGGAGACAGTGAAGTACAGGAGCCAAGGAGCATCTAAGGCAGCTGAGGTAGGAGCTGTGGCTTCCCTCATCCGTTCCATTGGGCCTTTCTCCATCAACTCCCCTCACACAGGCCAGCAGGAATACACTGACCCACAACACAAGATCCCTACAGCTTGCATCACGGTGGAAGACGCTGCTATGATGGACAGGATGCAGGCGAGAGGTGAGGCAAGAGGGAAGGGTCTGGTGCTGTTATCAACGTGTGAACACTATTTTAAGTCTTCTTTTGATGATATACTGTAGATAGAGCTTCTCTGTGAGTGTTAATGATGATGTAGTGTAACTGCTGTTTTAAAACAGCAGAACAGCATCATCACCATGGTGTCACTGCCGTTTTAAAAAGCTTCTGTATTTACGAATCTCCCGCGCTCTCTAGTGACAGATATACAGTTTAAGTATGTAAAAGCGAGACTAGTGGCAGCTGTCCCAGGTGCCCGAGTGGTATTGGAGAAGGAGTGGAGGTGGGGGTGTGAAGGACAGAGCTGCCCCCTCTCATATTTATCCCTCCCTTGTTAATTGTCTCCTTGACACAGAGACTCTAACATGCCACACTACATAGCTTAGAGGTCATAACTCTTCCTCAAGTGTCTTTGCATTGCGACATATTTTTTTATATCTAACTTAGAAAGATCATCGTATTGTTTTGTTGACATGAGGTATCATGTGGTCACATACGTCACTGTAGGGGCTGGAGCTGTTGCTATTATCATGCTATTTTTTATCAAGTGTTTACATCAGGGGTTCCATGGACTCCCTAGGGGTCCATGGAAGGGGTTTAGGGGGTCCGTGATCTGGGGGCAAAAAATTGATTTTGTCCTTGAGTTCTTTACTGTTACATTGAGTATTGTCTTGGTATAATTATTCAGTTGTCCACTGCCGTACAAATCATAACTTTAACAGAGCCATGTGAATGAAATAAGTCTTTCAATTCAAGGCCCTGCAGTCACCACTTTGGATGCTGCTGAAAAACTACGAGCAAACACGTGGATAGTAACGTCAGAGTGTGGGATTCCCGCATCCGTTTCCATGCGTTTGCGTTTTCAATCGCTACAGGGAGTAATTGACGTGTACTGTAAACGATAATGCTAACGCTACTGATAACTCAACCGTGCCAATGGAAACAATCGTGTACATATTAATGTGATCTATTTTTGGCGCTAACGCTAACGCGTGAATGGAAAAGCTATGCTGCTGAAAGAAAACCGTTCAAATCTGCTTTAACATTGATGTCTTTTTTTTATTACTGTATTAATATCCTGACTTTTTTTTATTGAAACAAGATGCAAAAGGCCAAACCAGTATTTTGTGTGCATCTGTTTATGTGCATTTTTTCTAGGGAGGTGGTCTATAGCTTTCATCATATTTCAAAGGGGTCTGTGATCCTAAAAAGTTAAGATCCCCTGGTGTACATAAATAATTTGTTATATTTTCTTGAAAAGTCATATAAATCAACAGAAATAAATACAATTTCTGTAAGCAGGTAGAAAACAACATAAAATCCTATTTTTGGAAGCAAAACTAAAATATGTTTATTGTTAATGATCAGTCAGGCAGGTCTGATGGTCGAGGTGAGGTGTTGCTGTCGTATGATCCTTGTTATTCTACACAAAAACATTTGTCATGGCAAAATTAATTAAATAAAACCTTATAATTTAATTATTTATTACATAGTTTTCCATGAGATGTGATTAAAGAGAGTAGAGAAATAAAATATTTATGAAGACACAATAGAGAAAAATCATTTTACATAACTGTTTGGCTTACTTACCTGAGAGGCCCTGGGAATTCCTTGAGATAAACACGCTTGTTGAGGCATAACGGGAAGCTAAATGACCAGAGAGCAAAATTTTATCAAATGTTGGTCTTTTTACAATAAAATACTATATATATTTTAAGCCCCTTACCCAAAAAGTAGTTTGACTAGACATAACAGGACGACTATTACCAGAACTGGTGAATGCTTTATGAGTACGTAAATGAATACTTATATTAATTAATAGGGATCATTTCAAGCTTAGCCCCAGCTTATTTCACCGAAAGATTAGTTGCTCTAACACTACCTGGAGGTTAGGTTACATTAACGTTATGGTGATTAAGGCTAAGCTGCGGCTAATATACAGGTGATCCGTAATTAATAAGATTAACGGTGAAAAATATCATCTACTGTAGGTTAATGAGATCAAGGAATAATACTGTCTCTCGGTGAAGAGTGGTATAATGGGCGTGGTCTTGTGAGCAAGGTTTCGTGGGCGTGGTCTCATGGGTGCGGTCTTCTTCAGGTCAGAAGATAGAGGTGCATCTCACCATGGGCGCCGAGAGCTACCCAGACATCATCACCAGGAACACCATCACTGAGGTCCTTGGTCACCAAGCGCCTGACGAGGCCGTCGTCGTCTCTGGTCATCTGGACTCCTGGGATGTGGGCCAGGGGGCCATGGATGATGGAGGTGGGTGGGCTAGAGGACCATAGGTAACAAAAGTGGGTGGGCCAGGGGGCCATGGATGATGGAGGTGGGTGGGCTAGAGGACCATAGGTAACAAAAGTGGGTGGGCCAGGGGGCCATAGATGGTGGAGGTGGGTGGGCTAGAGGACCATAGGTAACAAAAGTGGGTGGGCCAGGGGGCCATAGATGGTGGAGGTAGGTGGGCTAGAGGACTAGAGGACCATAGGTAACAAAAGTGGGTGGGCCAGGGGGCCATAGATGGTGGAGGTGGGTGGGCTAGAGGACCATAGGTAACAAAAGTGGGTGGGCCAGGGGGCCATAGATGGTGGAGGTAGGTGGGCTAGAGGACCATAGGTAACAAAAGTGGGTGGGTCAGGGGCCATGGATGATGGAGGTGTGGTGCCAGTGGGCCATAGATTGTGGAGGTGAAATAATATGAAACATATTACTAGTACAGTATTGGCTGGGGTCAGAGAGTGTTGTTGCAGTACAGGTGTTATGTTGGTACAGGTGTTATGTTGGTACAGGTGTTATGTTGGTACAGGTGTTATGTTGGTACAGGTGTTACATTGGTACAGGTGTTATGTTGGTACAGGTGTTATGTTGGTACAGGTGTTACGTTGGTACAGGTGTTACATTGGCACAGGTGGCGCCATGATCTCGTGGAACTCAGCCGTGGTGCTTCAGCGGCTGGGACTGCGGCCACGACGGACCCTAAGAGCCATCTTGTGGGCGGGCGAGGAACAAGGACTCTACGGTGGTTTTGTACGATCCATTTACCTGTACTTTATAACATGTAAAATACGAAAACAAGCAAATTTACCCGTTCAGACCTTAATTAATACAAAGCCACTCATTAACCTGTAAATTTTATAATGACAAAATCTAAGCACTAATTAATGTACTATGATATCTTGTTCGATAGTAACAGTGTGAACAAAAGGTAAGGATATTCATCATCAAGTATTGCTGTCAGTGCATTCTCACACCCACCCGGTCCTTTCACAGGCTTACCACAAGAACCACGTCAACGAGTCTGACAAGTTCCAGTTGCTGTTAGAATCAGACATTGGCACATTTAACCCTCTTGGCCTGGCCTTCAATGGCACCCAGGAGGCCACTTGTATCTTGGAGGAGGTAACGAAGTTATTACACTCCCTCAACGCTACTAAGGTGAGAGAACGACTGATATACAGTATTCTGTAATATATATATAAATTTTTATTTTTTATTTTTATTTTTTTTTATTACAGGGATTAGCCCACCCGGGCACAGGTCACTGACCCACATCAGGGCCTAGTGGGCGAAAATTTGGTAATAATAATAATAATAATAATAATAATAATAATAATAATAATAATAATAATAATAATAATAATAATAATAATAATAATTACCAGAAATAAATAAAAAATGAAAAAGTAAATACATAGTGAGAGACAATATATGTATGTTGTGTTGTCAAAGTAAGAGAAACAATTGAGACCCTGCAATTATGTGTAAATGAGGCTGAAAGGCAGATCAGCAACCTGGGACATGGTCACAATATTTGTGATGCCATATGGCAGCAGGGTCTACCATTAGACAATGCATTATGCTTCCAATATCTTCCTGTTTGATAGACAGATAGAGACAGATAAGCAGAGAGAGAGAGGGAGAGATAAATATAAACATAAATGGGAGATATGTATCTGCCTACTCCTTCGTTGTACTTCTGTTCATTATCTACCTCTAGTCTTCCTTCACCTAACTACCTAAACACATCATTTATACAATATACAACCAAGTAGGATCCCCCATTATTTGTGTTAGAGATGTGGCGCTAAATTAGTCCTGTGTCTCCCGTAGGTGGTGAGCCCGATGGACGGTGGACCAGACATTGAGGTGTGGATGAAAGATGGTGTCCCAACAGGTATGATAATTATTGAGTTTCTTGACTCAGGTGTTTTAACTTTGGTCTAATTAACCTTAAATTAAATAAACGTCCGTGGCTGAGAAACTCATCCATGTAAGTCATTCACAACATATTCAGGCATTTCACCAAATTATGTCAGGATTTACTTGTTAATAAGTTATCTGAGAACTCACTAAACTAACTCATTAATTCACTAAACAAAGAAAGAGACACACTCGTCTAACTAACACAAGAGCATTACGATGAGTTAGCCACACGACACGCCATCTAATTAATGCACTGCGGTGGTCTCTCTCTGTGTCAGGTTCACTCTACAATGCCAATGAAAAATACTTCTGGTTTCATCACTCCAACGGTGACACCCTCAGCGTAGAGGACTCAGATGTATTGGATCACTGTCTTGCTGTCTGGACCTCAGTTGCTTATGTCGCTGCCGATATGACTCAGAGGATCCCACATGGTCCTTCCAGCAAAGATCCTTCACTCGAGGTGCCAAAAACCCAAAATTATGACACCCCAAAGACCCCACACTCACCCAGGCATCAGTTAGGCTAAGACCCCCCCTTCACTCCTTACTTTATATGAGTTCCTCTCTCTTATTAGTCTTAGGGCCAACTTAACAAGTCATACAGTAATATGCTTGGTACTGTACACTCTCAACAAAAACTTCTCAAACACCTGGGCACGATGGATGTGAGAATGAGCAGAATGGGGCTTGTCATCTCGGAATGATTTGAGATTCTTCGTTCATTTTTCAGATTGCATAATACTTAAAGCGTTGGACAATTTTTTTGGAAAGAGTTTACAACAGTCAGGTCGTATCTCAGTGTTTACCTAAAGTGTCTTACCAGTCCTTTTTTTCATTTGTGAAGGAAATCCTAAATAGACAAATAAATTATAAAATCAATTGCGTTTCAACTTTTACCTTCAATTTGAATGAGTTAAAAGCTGTGAAATTTTCTCAAACACAGATGATGGGGAGAGCACAGGTTGGTGGAGACGAGAGGGGGAAAGAGGCACAACATCAGTGATAATGGAAGAAGTAAAGCGAAAATAAATTGAGAAGCTGGACTGAACGAACTTGTAAAGGAATATCAGAGGGAGGATGTGTGAATAGAACTTTGTGACAGAGAAGGCAACAGTAAACAACCTTAATAAACTATATACAGTATATCTTCTACACGCTCAATAAGAAACAGAAACAAATAACATGACTATTATACATTATGGCTGCGATGATTTGTAAATATGAAAGATGTGTTTGGCATATGTTACGGAATCTTGAAACTGCTAGTTAACAGTATGGTGATTTGCTCCAGCACTTCCAATGATCACTTGATAATTATATAATAGGTTAACCAGAAGTTTCAACACCACAGGCAAGGGAAAGTGTAATCAAGTTAAAAGCTGATAATTAAATAGTTATCAATTAAGTATGGTAAAGTGTAGGTAGAATGAATAGTGACAGTATTCTTATACTTAAAATACTTATTTACATATAATAATAATAATAATAATAATAATAATAATAATAATAATAATAATAATAATAATAATAATAATAATAAAAATAATAATAAGACCTGGATGCCGGTCAGAACTTAACATAAGTAACCTTAATGAATAGCTAACCACACAAGTACAAAGTTAAACATTAAGTAATCACTTCTATGAATGGTAGAGGAAGATTTCCTGCATATTAGCACCAAGAACCACATGATGTAAAGATAATGATTCCCTTCAGTTCTAGTAAGACACCCACGTATTAGTGACAGTATCATATAAATACACAAGTAAATGAATGTATGTCTCATCACTTGTAATCACTCACTTTTGATCGGCATCACTTGTTAGGCTAGGGAGCTCCTGGAAAACACTTATTTCACACTGGTATAACTAAGGTTGGACAAGACTCATAAGACGAATAAAGTCCTTAGCGTGATAGGTGAGCCGAAGTTAATTAAATACATGAAGACTCGTAGAGACAGCGGAGACAACAGCACTGGAGAGATGACCCGTCGACAAAAGTGTTTTTTTCATATAAAATGATGAGGGTGAGAGTGTGAATAACGCTCCTCAGGTGAACATCGGATTATGAAACCTCGAATGGGCGTGGCTTGTCGATGATGGGACTTCCAATTATGAATTATGATTAGCCGAATTGTTCCTCAAGCCATGTGACAGCGAGGGAGGGGGTGAAAGAAGGGGCAAGTGTCAACGGAGATAGGCGCCAGGATGATGGCTGGTGGTCACTTCTCACGCTGTGTCATGTGCAAGTGGTATTTTTTATGTGTCACATGATGAGGCTATCTGAATACGTTACAGTAGACAAGACACCACAAACATTTCGATCCAAGGAGTTGTAAGGGCCTTCAAATGAGCCATAATTAATTTACGAACACGTGGAGGGGTCCAGATGCTAACTTTCCCACATCAAGGAAAAATTAGATGATGCTGCTAGTTTTAATTATTCTAAATATATTTATTAATTCAAGAGTCAATAATTTGAACTGATCACTCCAACTTTAAGATTTAGAAACCAAATCCTCAACCAGCACAAAAAAGAATTCCATTGCATGGTATTTGAGCAATATCTAAGCTTTGACGTCATATAACGAAACTCTAGTTAGGTCAGGCATCTATTTTACGACAAAACCCCATTTTTTCTGGAAAGTTAGGACTAGCGTGTCAAATGGTAAAGTTAGCCTATATCGCTAAGAAAATTTATATAGCAGTGTAGGTAGTAAGTAGTAGGCAGCTACCAAATAGGGAGGTACTACCGCCTGGGAAGATACTGGAAGCATAATGTGTTGTCTAATGGTAGACCCTGCTGCCATATGGCTTCACAAAAATTGTGACCAAGTCCCAGGTTGTTGATCTGACTTTCTGCCTCATTTCCACGCAATTGCAGGGTCTCAATTGTTTCTCTTACTTTGACAACACAACATACATACAGTATATTGTTTCTCACTCTTGATCTGTTTTTCATTTTTGTATTTCTTTATGGTTCTTTATTATTATTATTATTATTATTATTATTATTATTATTATTATTATTATTACACGTTCGTCCAGTACAGTTTCTCAATCTAATTTCGCTTTACCTCTTCCATTATCACTGTTGTTGTGCCTCTTTCTTCCTCTCGTCTCCACCAACCTGTGCCTTCCCCATCATCTGTGTTTGAGAAGACTTCACAGCTTTAACTCATTCAAATTGAAGGTCAAAGTTGAAACGCAATTGATTTTTTATAATTTATTTGTATATTTAGGATTTCTTTCACATATGCAAAAAGGACAGATAAAACACTTTAGGTATACACCGAGATACTATCTGACTGATGTACAATACCAAGCATATTATTGTATGACTTGTTTAGTTGGCCCTAAGGTTAATACGAGAGAGGGACTCATCTAAACTAGGGAGGTAAGGGGGATCGTAGCCTCACTGATGCCTGGGTGATTGTGGGATCTTTGAGTTTTGACACCTAGTATGAAGGATCTATGTTGGAAGGACCATGCGGGATCCTCTGAGTCATGTCGGCAGTGACATAAGCGACTGAGGTCCAGACAGCAAGACAGTGATCCAGTACATCAGAGTCCTCTACGCTGAGGGTGTCACCGTTGGAGTGATGAAACCAGAAGTATTTTTCATTGGCATTGTAGAGTGAACCTGACACAGAGAGAGACCACCGCAGTGCATTAATTAGATGGCGTGTCGTGTGGCTAACTCATCGTAATGCTCTTGTGTTAGTTAGACGAGTGTGTCTCTTTCTTTGTTTAGTGAATTAATGAGTTAGTTTAGTGAGTTCTCAGATAACTTATTAACAAGTAAATCCTGACATAATTTGGTGAAATGCCTGAATATGTTGTGAATGACTTACATGGATGAGTTTCTCAGCCACGGACGTTTATTTAATTTAAGGTTAATTATAACAAAGTTAAAACACCTGAGTCAAGAAACTCAATACTTATCTTACCTAATGGGACGCCATCATTTACCCACACCTCAATGTCTGGTCCACCGCCATTCTCTCTTACCACCTACAGGAGACACAGGACTAATTTAGCGCCACATCTCTAACACAAATAATGGGGGATCCTACTTGGTTGTATATTGTATAAATGATGTGTTTAGGTAGTTAAGTGAAGGAAGACTAGAGGTAGATAATGAACTGAAGTACAACGGAGGAGTAAGTGGTTACGTCTCTCTCTCTATATATATCTCACCTTAGTAGCGTTGATGGAGTGTAACAGCTTCATCACCTCCTCCATGATACAAGTGGCCTCCTGGGTACCATCGAAGCCCAGGCCAAGAGGGTTAAATGTGCCACTGTCTGATTCCATAATCAGCTGGAACTTATCAGACTCGTTTACATGGTTTTTGTGGTAAGCCTGTAAATGGAACGGGTGGGTGTAGGAAAACACAGACAGCAATACTCTTTTTAACAACATTGTTGATGATAATAGTCGTTTTACCGTTTACATAGTCAGATTAATGAGTGGCTATGTATTAATTAAGGTCTGAACGGGTTAATTTGTTTGTTTTCGTATTTTATATGTTATTAAGTACAGGTAATTGGATCATGCGTACATCACCACCGTAGCCGCCTTGTTCCTCGGCCGCCCACAAGATGGCTCTTAGGGTCCGTCGTGGCCGCAGTCCCAGCCGCTGAAGCACCACGGCTGAGTTCCACGAGATCATGGCGCCACCTGTACCAATGTAACACCTGTACCAACATAACACCTGTACCAACATAACACCTGTACCAACATAACACCTGTACCAACATAACACCTGTTCTGCAACAACACTCTCTGACTCCAGCCAATACTAGTAACATGTTTCATATTATTTCACCTCCACAATCTATGGCCCACTGGCACTCACCTCCATCATCCATGGCCACTGACCCACCCACTTTTGTTACCTATGGTCCTCTAGCCCACCCACCTCCATCATCCATGGCCCCCTGGCCCACCCACTTTTGTTACCTATGGTCCTCTAGCCCACCCACCTCCACCATCTATGGCCCCTGGCCCACCAACTTGACCCACCCACTTTTGTTACCTATGGTCCTCTAGCCCACCCACCTCCATCATCCATGGCCCCCTGGCCCACCCACTTTTGTTACCTATGGTCCTCTAGCCCACCCACCTCCACCATCTATGGCCCCTGGCCCACCAACTTTTGTTACGTATGGTCCTCTAGCCCACCCACCTCCATCATCCATGGCCCCCTGGCCCACCCACTTTTGTTACCTATGGTCCTCTAGCCCACCCACCTCCATCATCTATGGCCCCCTGGCCCACCCACTTTTGTTACCTATGGTCCTCTAGCCCACCCACCTCCATCATCCATGGCCCCCTGGCCCACATCCCAGGAGTCCAGATGACCGGAGACGACGACGGCCTCGTCAGGCGCTTGGTGACCAAGGACCTCAGTGATGGTGTTCCTGGTGATGATGTCTGGGTAGCTCTCGGCGCCCATGGTGAGATGCACCTCTATCTTCTGACCTGAAGAAGACCGCACCCATGAGACCACGCCCACAAAACCTTGCTCACAAGACCACGCCCATTATACCACTCTTCACCGAGAGACAGTATTATTCCTTGATCTCATTAACCTGGATGATATTTTTCACCGTTAATCTTATTAATTACGGATCACCTGTATATTAGCCGCAGCTTAGCCTTAATCACCAAACGTTAATGTAACCTAACCTCCAGGTAGTGTTAGAGCAACTAATCTTTCGGTGAAACAAGCTGGGGCTAAGCTTGAAATGATCCCTAATAATGAATTTAAGTATTCATTAATCACAAAATTACACTACATCATCATTAACACTCACAGAGAAGCTCTATCTACAGTATATCATCAAAAGAAGACTTAAAATAGTGTTCACACGTTGATAACACCACCAGACCCTTCCCTCTTGCCTCACCTCTCGCCTGCATCCTGTCCATCATAGCAGCGTCTTCCACCGTGATGCAAGCTGTGGGGATCTTGTGTTGTGGGTCAGTGTATTCCTGCTGGCCTGTGTGAGGGGAGTTGATGGAGAAACTCGCAGCGGAGCGGATGAGGGAAGCCACAGCTCCTACTTCAGCTGCCTTAGATGCTCCCAGGAACCTGTACTTTACCGACACCCCGTATGACACCCACTCCTGGTTGAAGACCACAATCTTGCCCACCGCCTGAGGAACACGACAACTGTGGGATTAGTTGAAAATTACATACCTCAGCATATTTTATCTGACATTTTAATCTCCCACCCACCGTCACCGTCCACTTCACGCAGACCACTCATAACCACCACGACCGCCCATCCATCACCACCACCAAAGCCCACCTTCCACCCACTACCACCGCCCAACACACTTACCTGGTCAGCGTGTTTCTGTAGATCGTCAAAGTCCTTCACTACGAGGACCTCAGCCTTGATGCCCTCTGGCGGGGTGCCGACAGAACCTCCCAAACCCAACATGTTGAGCTGGTGGAGGCGTGGCTGAGTCATCCACGCTGACTCTGTGTTCCTGAGTCAGTACAGCTCATGTTAGGTCATGTAAAGTGTTTGTGCATCAGTCATTTAGTAGAATACATGTATTTAAATATATGTAAATTGAGAATTATAAACATTACATAAACACAATACTGACTTAAACGTTAAACAACCTGCTAGTAACCTCATCTACCACAAATACCCTGACCTGACCTGACTTCCTTCAATCATCATTGCCATGATTTCCCAAGTCTCCTGACCTAAGATGACCCAGCCATCATGACGTTACCTGACCCAGTGAGGCGCAGTCACGTCCTCAGTGTGAGTGTTCTCCAGACCTTCAGCCTCAGACAGTTCCAGCATCCAGTCAATGGCGGCTTCCAGCTGACCTGACCCAGTCTGTAACGTACATATTTATCATGATTATTTCTCAACAGGTCAAATATGCCGAAGTACTTATATACAGTTATGTTCATAATATTGTTTACATTTATGGTTTGTTTTGTCATTATTTATATATAATATTGGATTTTTCTTATGTATCCACACAATTTTAACTGTATTCACTTCTTTATACTGTGACATAACGTGGTATTTCATTATTTCATCGTCTGTATCACACTGCAGGCAAATACTGTAATGCTTAATAACTACAGAAAATGAGATATAATATGATCATCGAGAAACTTTTAGTCAAAATTATCATAGTTATAGATAAAATAACTATTAAAGAAACTGCGCACCGATAAATCTTGTACATATAAATTTTCTTATCAGTTTTGATAAGAAATGAATACACTGTCAACCTTGAGGATGAGGTTAGAGGATGACTTGAGATAGTGAAGTTGTTGATCTAGTGCGAGTAGTTACAGCAGTTAAGGGAGGTGAGACAGAAGCAGTTGATGATAGTTTATTAAAAGTTTGGGTTCCCGTTAGAGCTCGTATGGTGATCTTTTGTTTAATTTGAAGTCAATTACTTTACTGTAACAATAAGTACAGAAAGACATTACAAGGCACGTTACAAGAGTTTACAGGTTAGAATAGGTTAGATTATCATCTGTTAAGTTAGGCTTGATTAGGTTAACGTTGGTGTGGTTAATCATCAGGTGAAATAATCTAGAGAAAAAATCTCCAGGTGATCAGTTAAAAGTTACCGAAACGCATAGCAAGACAAAACACATTCTTCTTACATTCTGAACTTCAAACTTGGTACGTAGTCTCGGTGTGTACGGGGGGAACTTACCATGCGGGGCCCGAAGGTGTCTACCAGCTCAGCCAACACCTCATATGTCCTCCCCTTGTAGTCCCCGCGCACCACATACTCGATGATCTGGTCGACGGTATCCTGGTAGCTCTTAATCTCATCTACCAGCTCTGGAGGCAAGTTACACTGGTCTGGGGCCGCAGTCGTTGTTATGTTCTTTGGTTCCTTTAGCTGCGGGGGAGAGCTGGTCGTTGGCTGCGAAGGAGAGCTGCTGGTCACTGGCTGCTCTTCCTCAACTAACTCTTCTCCCTGGCGAGTGTCGTTGATGCTCGGAAGTTGAACGATGTGAACACCTTGGCACTGTGCCACTGAATATAACACGAACAGCAAAGCGGAAAGGATACAAGTAAAAGTAATAGTGCACAGTGCTACTTGCCCCATCTTGAGTTGGTTGTGAGAGAGACTACTCACTCACTCACCACTCTACTCTGCAGACGGGACACTCCTGACAACTCGGGTGCCAAGACTCTCTTGGTCGCTGGTGAAAACAATGCCAGAACTTCTGGCACTGTTTTCACCAGAAGGTAGCTATATAGTCGCGCCTTATCTCTATTGTGCCACTTAGCCTTACTTTTTTTTATCCTTATGAGCTTCTACCAGTTCTGGTAAAAGTCGTCCTGTCATGTTCAGAATTTTATTTGGCTTAAAAGGTGTATTTTATTGTGAAAAGACCGAAAACTTGCAATTTTTGGCACTCTGGTCATTTCAATTTCAATGCCTAGTGGGGAATATGCATTTCCCACTAGGCATTAATGAGTGTGCATAAGTCTCAAGAAAATCCCCAGGGCCTCTCAGGTAAGCAAGCAAAACAGGAATGTAAAATTATTTTTCTCTATTGTTCCTTCATAAATATTTTATTTCTTTACTCTCTTTATTCACATACTCGTAGAAAACTTTCTAAATAATATAAGGCTTCATTAATTAATTTTGCCATGACGAATGCTTTTGTGTAGAATAACATGGATCATACGACAGCAACAACGCACCGCGGCCATCAGACCTGCCTGACTGAACATTAACAATAAGCATATTTTAATTTTCTTAAAAAAGGGATTTTATGTTGTTTTCTACCTGCTTATAGAAATTTTATTTATTTATATTGAGTTATATGATTTCTCAAGAAAATACTTGATACAAAAATAAAATGGTAATGGCAACACCTGTGTCACCTCACGTCACCAAAACAATACCATGTTCTTTGTAAGTTAGATCCAAGAAAAAGTAGCACTGCAAAGAATTTTGAGAATTGTGAACTCTTGGGACAATCTGCCGGAGAGCGTTGTGACGTCACCGAGTGAAGCTCATTCAAAGCCAGACTTGACCAACACTGGAGCAGGTTCCGAAAATTTCGAAATTTCGGATAAATTCAGGAGCCAGTGCATGTCCAGTATCTGCCACTGTGCCACAGTGCGTATGAGAGACGTAACTGACCGCGAAGAGGATGAAAGTAAAAAGTAAATAAAAGTAGACTATAAAATAAAATTTATAAGGACCTGTAGGCAACGTAGTGTGTCTGAGTCATGGAGACAATGAACAAGGGAGGGATAAATATGGGATAAGGGAGGGAAGCCAGCTCTGCAAAGATATTTGAATAAAAGTTGTTATGACCTCTAAGCTGTGTAGTGGTAACCTTACCGATAACACAAGCTTGGGGATGGCATTGTTTGGTTATACTCTGAGGTGACCCAGAAGATTATGAAGATATAAAATTGGTGGGAACTGCGACATTTGTTGATGTTGACGCAGCAACTCACATGTGTTACACAAACACACTTGTAACATTATCTGGTTTACTGCTTTATTATTATTATTATTATATTATTATTATTATTATTATTATTATTATTATTATTATTATTATTATTATTATTATTATTATTATTATTATTAATAATAGTAGTCGTAGTAGTAGTAGTGTTATTATTATGATAACATTGATAATAAAAATAATAATAATAAGCTGAGGTGTCTAATTAATATAACTATTTGGATACTGGTCCTTGCGTTAGCATTAGCGGGAATCCTACACTGTGACGTCACTATCCCGGTGTTTGCTCCAGGATACTAAAAGCAGTCCTAGACTCTGTTATATTTCACACAAAGCCTGTTCAACGAGCTTATGGCGCCGTGAACCTCTAATGGGGACTACCCGTATCACGTAGGTGGTCAGAGTAACGTTTTACCAAATCCGGCTTCGAAACACGAGGATCCATATATATTTCATTAGCCCAATAAAGCACGCGGACTTCTACATACAATCAACACCTCAACCCGCCAGGATTCGAACCCACGGCCCATGAGCCCATGACTGTGACCAGGGAACGCTACCTACCGAAGCCGGATTTGGTAAAACATTACTCTGACCACCTACATGATACGGGAAGTCCCCATTAGAGGTTCATGGCCCCATAAGCTCGTTGAACAGGCTTTGTGTGAAATATAACAGAGTCTAGGACTGCTTTTAGTATCCTGGTGGTCCAGAGGTAGCGTTCCCCGGTCACAGTCATGGGCTCGTGGGCTGTGGGTTCGAATCCTGGCGGGTTGAGGTGTTGATTGTATGTAGAAGTCCGCGTGCTTTATTGGGCTAATGAAATATATATGGATCCTCGTGTTTCGAAGTCGGATTTGGTAAAACGTTACTCTGACCACCTACGTGATACGGGTAGTCCCCATTAGAGGTTCACGGCGCCATGAGCTCGTTGAACAGGCTTTGTGTGAAATATAACAGAGTCTAGGACTGCTTTTAGTATCCTGGTGGTCCAGAGGTAGCGTTCCCCAGTCACAGTCATGGGTTTGTGGACCGTGGGTTCGAATCCTGACGGGTTGAAGTGTTGATTATATATATATATATATATATATATATATATATATATATATATATATATTAGGTTAGGTTAGGTTGGGCTGGGTTAGGTTAGTTTGGATTGAGTTAGGTTAGGGTAAAATCCAAACTTAAAATTTCGTTTGCGTTTATTTTGAAAACAACCACAACGCGTTGTGGTCGTATTTCGTTTTCTGAGCCCAACATATATATAAAATAATTCGTCATTTACGCTAAGTCAGTGGGTTTTAATAAATTATAAGCCTAGATATCTTCCACACGTACAATAAGAAACAGAAACAAATAACATGACCTTTATTATATATTCTGGCCAAGATGATTAGTAAATATGAAGGTGTGTTTGGCCGAGAAAACATCACAAACATGTTAAAAAATTTGTATGTTTTTATCGCTTATAAGATATTTTTTTCATTCCTGAGAGTTGTAAGATACGTTAGTGTTGTGATGCGCGTTTGTTTATTGTTATTACTACCGCATTTCATTGCTTATAATATATAAAGAACAATTCTTAACATGGGAAAAAATATTAATGTCTCTCGACAATAAACATTAAGGCAGCTATTAACATTAAGGGAATAAGTGGCTTTGTAAATTTATCTCGGTAAATTGGTTTGAACATCGCTTTACTGTAATGGTGCGAGGAACAGGACTGAGCTCATTTATGGTTTGGCGAGTGGCGGAGACACACTGGCCTTACTCAAGGCAGGATGGTCTCACAGGCTCCAGCCCTCTCTATCACCCTCCTGCTGTGGTTGTGGGTAGCGGCTGCCACTCCTCCAATACCCTCAAGGTCTGTTTACCAGCCAGAGGAACTGTTGCTCGATCTGGTCTCTGGCCCACTTCAAGGTCGAAGTATTTTCCTTTTACACGACAGTCAGTCAGGTTTCGAGGTGAACCTTAATCAAGTCCTGAGTCACATTTCGTCCTCGATGGTCATGATAGCTAACCAAGAAAACTTCAGCATGGACCAGTACCCGAGTGGTTATGTTCGCGGAGAAAATTACGTGGCTGTAATGTTGTTCTCTTCCTCCCCCACCAATTTCCTGAACTACCTATCAGAATCTAACGTCTGGAACCCTACATTCTTAATTCTCCTCGCCATGAACACTTCCATAGATACAACGGAAGTCGTCAGTCATGCGGTGGTCCAGCGATCAAGGTACTTGGTGTTGTTCGAGCAGCATGTCGTGAACATCAGCAAAGTGTTCTACATGTTCACCAGTTACCCGTTCAGTCCAGAGGGTCACCGAGCTACCCTGGGCAGCTGGAGTAACAAGACCATCACATCGGTCGTGGACTTGTTTCCTGATCGCTACCCAGACCTGCAGGGAGCGGTGTTGTATCTCGCTTCCTGGTGTGATGACTTCCCGATCATCTACGTGAGTGGTGATGGCTGTATCGGTTCCAGTCTGGACACTCTTTCTCTTATCGCCCACAAACTCAACTTCACCTACGAGGTACAAAGAGAGACTCAAGACCAACACTGGGGCGCCTTGGAGAATGGGAATTGGACTGGTATGTTGGGTGACCTTAAATACAATGGTAAGGACTTAGCCCTTAACTGGTTCCTTCTTAACCACAACCGCTGGAAGGCCTTCGACGCCCTCTACCCATACTACGCTGAAGGTTTCGGGTTTCTGGCGCGTCTCCCGGAGCCAGCACCTCGGTGGAAGAACTTGACCTACTCCTTCACTACCAATTTGTGGCTCATCATCGTCTGCTCCACCATGGTCGTCTCGTGTATGTTCTCTGCTTTGATGCCGCGTCATATGACAGAGGGAACCGTCGACCATATCCAGCAAATCATCTTGGTAAGAGTTAATATTTATACCAAGTGTTAATCTTTCCTACCTGTACTTTGTTTCATAACACTGCGTCCGGGAAACAAATAATATATACTTTGATCTGAATGTTATATAACTTACGATACGTTGGTGTGAAACAAGAAAATAAATAATTGAATTCTGTGTTACTTTCCCTTTTGACATTTAGACCATTGATTTGAAATCATACGGACTTAAAATGTAATTTATCTGTGTCTATCTGTGTGTCTGTGTGCCAGGTATGTGCGGGCGTGGTGAGACAGGTGGTTGATCTGGGCGGTGACGGGAGATGGGCGTGGCAGCGGGTGTGGCTGGGCTGGTGGTGGTTGGGCTGTATCATCCTAACCACCGCCTACACCTGTAACCTCATCGCCTTCCTCACTGTCCCTGTCTACACCACCCGCATTGAGACTGTCGCCCATCTTGCTGCCTCAGACCTCAGGTGAGAACTAGGTCGTGTAAACTCATTACCTGATACCTTGAACTGTGTTACTTCCCTGAGATAATAATACGTACTGTCTCAGCTCCCTATAAACTCCATTAACATAACTCTACCATTTGCTGCTTTACTATAGGAGAAAACACAGTAAATAAATAAATAAATAAATGTGTCTCAAAAGTTCACACTCGTGGGCGTAAGTCACTATTTACCTTATTTTTATCAAATGTATATATTGTATAGTGAAGCTTACATATAACGGACTTCTCTCTTCATATAATCCGTCTAATAAAGTTTTCACTGTATGAGAGATATTTGTTTTTGTTTCTTCAGGGTCATAATGCAGGATTATGGGAGCTTCTTGCCAGAGGCGCTGAAGGAGTCGTCGGATCCCCACCTGTATACGTTGGGTCACAAGTTGGATTTATACCCGTATGAGGAAGCGTATGACCCAGCTATCTACGGCGTCTTGAACCGCACTCACGCCCTCACAGAGACCTACTCCTACCTCATGAACCTCCAGATCCAGTATAATGTTACCCAGGACACCTACCTCATGAAGGAACAGGTCAGGTTAGGTCAAACACACACACACACACACACACACGTATAGAGACACATAAACACGCACGTACATAGACATACAGTACACTAACGTACATAGACACACACACACACACACGGGCGTTAGATTAGGTTAGGTTACAACAGTGTTAAGTTAGTTTAGGTTAGGTTAGGTCAGGTTAGGTGAGGTCAGGTGACCCTCAGATGCACTGTAAAGTGACTAGAGGTATATTATAGGCAGCCCAGCCCAGCCTAATTACAAGTGTTTGTCACAGGTGTACCCGGGTCACATGTCCTGGTTCATGCCCAAGAACACCCCGTACTCAGCCAAGGTGTCCGCCCTCCTCACCAGACTCCGGGAAGCGGGGGTTATTAACAAGTTCTTTCTCATACACTTTGCCCGCGTGTCTGAGACCTTCAAGAACACCCAGGTGAGTGTTACCTTCTGACGGGTGTTACTTGAGTTACCTGTTGAGTAGTAGTGTTATCTGAGTGTTAACTGTTGAGTAGTAGTGTTACCTGTTGAGTAGTAGTGTTACCTGTTGATTAGTAGTGTTACCTGTTGAGAAGGAATGTTCCCTGTTGACTAGTGTTACTTGTTAAATAGTAGTGTTACCTCTTGAATAGTGTTACCTGCTGCGTAGTAGTGTTACCTGAGTTTTACCTGCTGAGTAGTGTTACCTGTTGAGTAGTAGTGTTACCTGTTTAGTAGTAGTGTTACCTGTTGAGTAATAAAGTTACCTACTGAAGAATGTTACCTTAGTGTTACCTACTTAAAATATCTATGAGTATTCATTGTTGGAAATTTTCAGGCAAAATTAATTATAGGAGAGGTGTAATGTAGGTAAGATCCTTCCTTCAGCTTGTCTCCATCCCTCTGCAGGAGTCCACGATGCAGGCCCTGAGTATCAAACACCTCCAGGGTGCCTTCCTACTGCATCTGCTAGGTCTCGTTGCTGCTCTACTGATCCTCCTCTTAGAGCTTTTCGTCTTCTGCTTAGCTTGACTGCTGCTCTACTGATCCTCCTCTTAAAACTCTTCGTCTTCTGCTTAGCTTGACTGCTGCTCTACTGATCCTCCTCTTACAACTCTTCGTCTTCTGCTTAGCTTGACTGCTGCTGCTCTACTGATCCTCCTTTTCGAGCTATTCGTCTTCTACTTAACTTGACAGCTTTGCCCCACGACAAAAGTTCTCTGTTGTCTTCTGCTGGACTTCGCCATTGCTGTTCTACTACTACTACTACTTGAGCTCTACTTCACCACTGACGTTATGAAGGCACTTGATATACAATGTAATTATTAAAAAAAACATCACAGCTATTGTATTTATAAGGCAGTGTACTGAAAGTGTAGTTATATTTGACTAACACACCCCACAGTTTATGTATCATCAAAACAGTGTAGTAACAGTATACAGTATGAGCAATAAACTTATACCGTAATTGCCAATCAACCAAAGGAAAATAAAACGTACTTGAATTGCCTAATCACATTTTATTATATATATATTTTTTATTTTTTTCTAATTTCATTTTCTTGTCCTGAATAGCCACTAAAACGTATCCCATAATTTGATCTTAAACAAAATTTATCTCTATGTAATTATCAGCAAATTATTTTATATATAAAACTAAAATTATCGAAGACACATATTAATGATAATTTACAGCCGTAACTTCTCTTTGCAACAAAAGAGTATAATTATGTGGAGATTATCATGATGGAAATTAATACATTGGTCTGTAGTTTGTACTGTAAAATATGTTAATCTGAATACATTTGTGAAAACTAGCATATAAAACAAACTAAAAAATATCACTTACAAATCAAATATGTAACTTTGAATACGTAAATCATGACTATCATATAAATTTAACTCAAATTCTCAAATTACCAATATTAAATGAAATCTGTTACTTTACAATATAAAAATCATTAGCACTAGAATATAAAACTAACATATCATTGTTAACTCTAAACCAAGTCTTCTCCCTCGCGATGTCACCATGTCATCTTATCAATGTGCTTTATCCAGTGACATACTGCATAATAATTATGTAAGAGGTCTTCAAAGTACACCATCAAGAACCTGACACAATATTGTTAGGTGTAAATTCTTCAAATATCATTCTGTTACTTTTAGGGAACTACTGATTTATGTGTAGCCAGTGTCCGCTTAACGTACGTACATCAGCATAAATGTAAATCCGCTTAACGTACATCAGCTAACGTAAACCCGTTTAACATATACTGGGTTGACATGCACCCTCTTAACAAAACAGGTTTTCAGCTTCGCATCATGTACGTTAAAGCGAACATTGACTAAGCTGATTTGCATGTTATACAGATCAACTGAAATTCAGAACAGCAGTAATTTTTTTTTTCGTGTTTAAGGTGAATATTGTTATTTTTTTTTTAAGGTGGTCCTACAAAGATGGTTGAGTCTGTTTGTTATATCACGCGGGGTCGTGTAGTGTCTGGTGTCTTCCCCAGAGAAGATTTTCATGACATATTTAACCTTGATGGAATGATATGAAAGATTGGCAGCGAGCGCTTCAGTAATGTACCTCACTCACCACCACTGCCCAGACAACAGTTGAAGGAAATGTCTTTTTTTTCCATTTTGTTTAATGTATATAAAAAAAACATAAGAACAACTGAACGTAATTTTAAAGACAAATTAAATTATTTTCTCTGAATGAATTATGCTGCTTATAGGTCAAGTTAGTTAGGTCACAATAACTACAACGGGCACTCCTCAGGTCAATAGTATGGTGACATTAGTGTTACTGTCGCACTCCTGATAACTACTGAACGATATAAAATTATGTACGGACAGCCTAACAAACTTTTAATTTAAATCAGCTTGGACACCCATACTGAGGACCACCCTGTTATTTTTTTACTATTTTAATTTCTTGTTATGCGTAACACTTCCAAAGAATATACATTAAATCATTTAATTTAAATGCAATATATGAAGAAAAAAATTATTTCCACCTGCCTCTATAAAATAATGTTTAATTGCACATCATACTGAAAGACTAGATATTGTGGGGTTATGAGATATTGGTTCACACTCAGGATGGGATGGAGAAAGGAAACTCACAATGTGCTCTCTGTATACATATTGTATTGGATGTACAATGCAGCTTGGTGCGGGGGGGTGGCAGCGTGAGTCCAAGCTGATGTAGAGAGAGCTGGTTGGTGAAGGTGCCCAGAGGAGAACACGCAGCTTTAGGGCAGCATAGTCGCCGGCGGGAGCGAGGGCCACCAGGCAGGAGCGGAGGAGGAGGTATTGCTTGCTGGTGGCTGTAGGTAGAAAGAGAGAGGTCACGGCCACGTGAGGTTTTATATAGCCGGGGTAGGCGTGGGTTGATAGTTGACCTCCGCTTTGTCAGGCGGCGCTGGTTGCCGACCTTGACCAAGAGGCGCAGGCTGGGGAATTCGAAGAGGGTCGGCTAGTCAGCGACACCCGGCATTTGTAGGGGAAGAATCCACTACAATACTCCCCTTTCCCTCCAGGCGGTGTAGGAGACTTGTGTGCAGGGTTGTATGCCACATGTGAGACAAAACGGCGAGGGCGTGGATGAGCCGGCCGCTATGGGAGACACTTTGTCTAGATACACGAGATCTGTGGGAGAAGAGAGAGAGGAGGGTTGTGGAGGCGAGGAATGTGGTGCTTCTCTCGCGGCAGGTACAGAGTCCTCAGTAGCGCCTGCTGGGGTGTGTGGGTCCGCGTCAGGAGCAGGGGCTGTGTCAGGAAGAGGGTCCATGACAGCAGCAGGGTGCATGACAGCAGCAGGGAGTACCTGAGGGAGAAAAGAGGGGTGTGTGGATCCGCGTCAGGAGCAGGGGCCGCGTCAGGAGCAGGGGTCGCATCAGGAGGAGGGTCCACGACAGTAGCAGGGGGTACTGCTGGGCCGGGGGTGGCGTCTGAGGCAGGACAGGTGGGGTCGGTAGGACGTGGTGCTTGGGGCAGGAAAAGGAGCAGATCCGTTTCTCCTCCATCCTGTGTGAGTGCGAATCTCCAGAGGTCACTATTTGTGGGGTTATAAGTTATTGGTTCACACTTAGGATGGGATGGAGAAAGGAAACTCACAATGTGCTCTCTGTATACATATTGTATTGGATGTACAATGCAGCTTGGTGCTGGGGGTGGCAGCGTGAGTCCAACCGTGATGTAGAGAGAGCTGGTTGGTGAGGGTGCTCAGCGGAGAACACAGCAGCTTGTCGGGCGATAGTCGCCGGCGAGAACTGGAGCCGCCAGACAGGAGCGGAGGAGGAGGAGGAGGAGGAGGTGTTGCTTGCTGGTGGCTGTAGGTAGAAAGAGGTAGGTCACGGCCACGTGAGGTATTATATAGCGGGGGTAGGCATGGCTTCATAGTTGACCTCCGCTTTGTCAGGCGGCGCTGGTTGCCGACCTTGACCAAGAGGCGCAGGCTGGGGAATTCGAAGAGGGTCGGCTAGTCAGCAACACCCGGCGTTTGTTGGGGAGGAATCCACTACAATATCTTTTAAAACACTTGTAAATCTTGGACCAGCACAGAGGTGAATAACAATAATGAGTAGAACATGAAACAAAAACACACACTCACATATATATATATGTATATAACAACTCTCAAAATTAATATATTTACATATATTGTTATCAAGGCTCGGAATCACTCCTGCTCATCCCTTTTAAGTCTTCCTAAAGTAGTAAAAGGAAACAGTTCAATTAAGTTCAATCTCCTTTACCAACACCAAGTCTCACCTTTATCATTCCGAGTAATGATCTCTATGGTAACAATAAATAAACTTTTAAACTAAAAAAATATATAAAAAAATGTACATATGCAAATAGAATAAACTATATGGAAGATTTGTAACTACGTATGTAACTACACTGGTATGATATGATTTATTAGACTTAGTAATTGCCACAACTCTTGATAAATTAACATAGTAGTATACAATTAAAATCTTTGTTTTTTCTTTTCTTAAGTTGCAATAAATTATTCTCCGTTATGTGACCTTCGAGTATCTCTTCACAACTCGGAAGTAATTTTCCTCGTGTCAACAAACAAGAAGTAAATATTCATCAACTTGTACGGATCAACAACCTCTAAGTAAGTAAGCCTTGATAAGAAATCGTTCTGGAAAAAGTTATAACATTATTAACTTGTATATTTAAATAACTCTGTGAGTATTAGGATTTAAAATATACGTCATGCAGAGCCGTTCCTCTGTGAAATGAGTTGGATCAAGTCACGGCATACTGCTCTCATAAACAGCTTGGGAGTTACGAAACTTACATATGTATTTATTTCCTTCCACAGTTATATTTAACCCATATTTTGAGAGCCTTTCCCTCATATGGTTTGGGATATTGTTAAATTATGTTATTTTAAGTTTTATCCATTTATCTTTTAATTGGTATAGTGTTCATGTGTTTGAACAGTATCTATATGCTATTTGTCTACATTATATATCATTATGGCTACGTTTAATTAGTCATGATTCTCATCTTTCCTGATCAAACTGTCAGATATTCGTTGAAAAGTGACTTAATGTAGCCAACATCCATTACCTGACCACACTTGTTTATTGAAATGTGACATAACATAACCAACATCCATTTCCCTATCCATTATGAACACACAAGTCGACCGACATAATATCTCATCAAACATCTCTATAATTTCTCCACAATCCTTTCCTCTTATCATATTTTATTCTCTACTTAATGGCCTACCTTTGAATTTCCTTACAAAACTAGTGAAAAACAGATGATTGTGTACTGATGAATCACATATTATTATTATTATTGCCTTACAAAAAATAATCTATATAAATAATAATTAGAGAAAGAGACGAATGTTCACACCATCATACGTCACAGTAACTGACGGTACATGGTGTTGATAGCTATATATAGTGATAGTTGATGAGGATTCCTAATAGCTTTGAAAGTTACAAAAACTGAGTCAAATTATCTAATATATCCTGAGATTTTACTTAACTCAGTATATCAAATAATACAACAACAATATTTTATTCCAGAACTTATGAATTCTATTAAACAGTTCTAATATCTCTTTAATATAATCTCCAGATTATGTTAATATTATGAGCCTCCAACAGCACAGTAAACAGCAGTAAATTACCAAGTTTTTGTACCATTTTCTTGATGGATTATAAAATTCTGTTACATCCAGGTTAAAATTGACCTCCTAAGTCCTGACATACAGTGATATCAATTGTGATTATAGTGAAGAAAGATTGTTTGTATTTTTTCTGTGTAATTTTCACCTATTTTTCTTTTTTGACATGGTTTTCACATATTTTCTTGCATAATTTTCACATTGTTGTATCACTTCCTCAACATGTCTGTTATGGCTTCCTCATGTTATCTGTTACAAGTATCTCCTCCTCAGACAGTCACAATAATATTTACACTTGTTGCTCACACTTAACTCTAAAGTTCTGGAGTGTAAACGCCCTCGTCCTCCAGTAAGTTGACGAAGGAGGCAACCCTCTTGCGCGACTCGACACCCTTCATTACCCTCATAGTATCTAACAGACCCAGCAGCTTCTTCATCCCCACGAACACCTTCCCGTGGCAGATGTGATCCAAGACTGCTTCAATCTGTTATAATGTGACAGTGGTAATGTGTGTGTGTGTGTGTGTGTGTGTGTGTGTGTGTAGACACACACACAAAACACCTACAAATAAATAGTAATTGGAAAATCCTCTTTCAAATAATCAGAAACAAATTTATTAAAAATGTGACAGTCTACCGTGAAGTCTGTGCTCTAT